TGGTAGAAAGACTTATTGGAACGCACCTAGTCTGGGGTCCATTGTCTGCATGATCATTTCCAAAGTTGAACCCTAGACGTGGTACATTCCCAGACGTTTCGCCGGCATCGTTAGTGAGTTTTACCATTCGTAGCCCTATATTACAACCAGTCAGAGACAAATGAAGCCGATCCTTTGACCAAACGTGTTACAGTTATGGTATCTCCCATTCTGCCCTGGCCTATTCACATTTCCTATATCCTCCAATCACGCCTTCACTGTTACAATAGTTTACTTGCTTAATTAAATGTGGTCGGTGTGCCCGTTGTGGTTCAACATTAAACCGAGTCAAAGCAAGCATAACCACAACATTTGTGGGTTGGCACACAAGAGACTAGGATATGAGAAGTCATAGACTTGGTATTTGAGATAGATAGAGGATAGACGCGGCGGCGATGGGAGCTAGTTGGCTGACAGTAGTTTTTATAAAAGACGTGGTCCATGTGGCAAAGGCCTGACCATGACACTTACTCAGAGGCTTAAGCCTCGAATTAGTAACCCAGACGCAGGGTAGGGCAGACGGCGGAACGTCTGGGAATGTACCACATCCACGACCCGACTTTGGAAATAATTATGCATACAATGGACCCCGGACTAGGTGCGTTCCTGTTGAGCTGGGGTAGCGTGGATGATGCCATTCGATTATCGCTGTCGATTAGACCAAGCGATAATTTAAGAAGCTCAGACCATATGTATTCCGAAATAGACCACTACGAACTTATATTCTTAAGCTGTGAATTCCAATCTTCCAAAGTTGTATCGCAACACGATGTCATACTTTTTAATTCTTCCACTTTTGCTTGTATCTCCTTTCATCAGGTTTAGTAAATTGGTAAATATTTCTTTTTAACATAATCCAGCTTTCAAGAAATAGCTGGATGTTACATTTGGCCAATATATAGATGGAATCTTTACTGATTTTACCAATTAAATGACTTACTAGAATTTCCTGTATATTACTCGAGAGCTTACTTCCTACATTCCGTTTTTACTCTTAGTTAAATCATTAGAAGATCGGCGCATTTTTTTCCATCGAAATTGTTTCTTTTTAGGTTTCTTTTTTACCTAAGTGCAACGTTTTATTTGGATATACTTTAGGTTGCCACCAATTTGTCCTCATTTCTTTCTATTTGTTGCCATAATAGTCTTCTTCATCATGCCCTATCCGAGGCAGCACAGGGCCGCGAGCTTCATATTCCTGATCACGATGTATATCCACAGGTGCTTTCAGCAGCAACTGAAAATTCAAATGTCACTCTCGACGAAACGTCTCGATCGAATTTGGGCAGTTCATCAGCAGATTCAAATGCATCTGGTTCCGGCATAGATGCTCCAGCTTTGAATGGGATAGACTCGGGTCCCATCTGTTTGTTTAATATTTTCATGCAGGAGGTCAACCGTCTTGTACATTCTCGTCTTGTTATGCAAGGCCAAGGAGAAGTGCGTACATATGTCTGATTATTTATACTTTTTGGTCAAATAAAATTACTTGAATAAATTAATTTAATTTATAAACCAACTGTTACTGGAAAATCAATCTAAATTCTCCTCGTAGATATGAAGACTAAGATGGTAGAGGAAACGGGACATTTTACGTTCCACAAAGTCTCCCTGGCCCTCCGACCAAGTTGCGAAAGCAAAATCGTACCAACATTAAATTATCATTTCCTGAAGTTACATAAGGGAAGCAAGTACATGAGATTGCACTGTTAAAAGTTGCTGCAGTCAGGCTCCTGAGTATATTGTTGGATAACGATGATGGATTGGTTGCTGAGTACAGGAAATAATGCAAATGAAAATTAATTAGTCTGAATTTACTTGAGCTATTTCAGTTCGACTGTAATCACATGAGCGATACCTCACTTTTATTGGAATTACTTCGCTCACAAGAGGTATTTTCTCCA